ACAAGTTTAGACAGTGGATTGGAAGAAAGGAACGTTCTTGTGTTGCAGGGTGGCCTAGGAGGAGACCAAGTGACCTGAACGAAATCCCAACTCATTCCTTGCTATCTGAATTGAGAAAAGGAGGATTGTGGACCACCCCAGAAGAATATAACCCATCCTTAAGAAAGATTCTCTAACACTGAGGTAACTGAGGGAAAGAAATATGGGCTGAATTTATAATGTTTTCATCTAGATCTATTTCTTGCTGCTAAGGAAGCAGCTAAGTCTTTTATCCTCCTGCCAAATAACTGCGCTTCTTTTTGATTCCAATATCAGGAGCCTCTGGGGTAAGGGAATATGCAAGAGAAACCTTAGAAAAATTACAGTTGCCTTTGTCTCTCACCACCCATTTCCCATTTGGTCTCCTCTCTTCCCCTCCTTTTCCTTTCTCAGAGTTCCCTCCGCACTAATAGATCATATCACAAGAAAAGTGTAACATCCACCCTGAATTAAATGGAGGCAGGAGGGCAGTAAGTAAGCAGGATGAAAGCTGCAGCTTGGCCTCCAGTGCTCTCAGACTCTGAGCACTCTGCTACTGCAATTGCCTCTACACCAGCCATAAACCATTACCTGTCTTTATTCTGTGCTTAGTAGACCTACAAGACTGAACAGTGGATCAAGCTCTGACACTAGAGTTCTCTCTTGCCCCCAAACTAACTTTAGTTGTAGGCAAACTGCAACTGAAATGAACCCACAGCTAACCCTAATCCCTACTCAGACCAGCTCGCCTCTATCCTTGTGGATGTTACAAGGTCTAGCAGCAAACCTGGCTCTAAAGGCAATGAAGGATTCTGCCCAACCAAATACCAAACCTCTCGCGACTAAGTCCAGTGGCCCATATTAGCAGAGAACTGGGTGAGGTGGAGGGGGAAAAGCAGCAGCTGTTCAACCTTGCTTGCAAATGTTGTTTCATCTTTAAAGGTTTCCCTAGACTCCTGTGACTGCACATCTTCATGATCCAGGACTCTTCAGGCTTGATATCAGTGTATTGAACTGTAATTGCAATGCTAACCCTACCCTTATCTCCTTATCTACAAGCTAATGACCATATCCTTCCCATAACTAAAAATTATCAACAAGGCAGCAATGGACTTGGTCATTAATCTTCTATTCTGCAAAACCTGAGGAACTAACATTCCTGCCCAAAACAGCTCCCATACCAGTGCAAGGGGCTTTGCAGCATTCAGCAACATGCCCAATTTTTGCACTCCTACTCTAGAGGACAAACACTTAACTGTGAACCTGATCCCTTTGCTGCAATGTGCACATATCTGGGAGGTAAGGGGGCACATGAACCCTGAGGAGAAATTCCACCTAGCCTTCCCCTTCCTTCCATGCTTCCTCCCATCAGAAAGTTGTTTCCTGGCAGTGACCAGAAGGAGATAGCATATATGGGAATAGAGGTAGAGGAGGTAAAAAGCACACATAGCCTTGGCTGTGGCACACGCTGTGCACACAGTATCAGCTAATTCTGGGAAGGTGCTTTCGCCTCTTCAGGCCCTACCTTCTCAGGAGACTCACAAGGCCTAACTGAATTAACTAGCCGCCTTTTTCTCCCTGAGCAAAGCAGCTCTGACATCCAGGTGCAAGACAGACAGCCATCATCACCCAGGCATCTCAGGGCAGCTCACCTTGGAAACCACTCAAGTGCAGGAAATGTAGCTGACTGACCACAAGTTAAGAGTCAACAAGGCAGGTAGAAGAATGAGAAGTACACCAGAAATTGGGAGTGAAAGCTCTGCTAGATGAAGTTAGGGAAGACTGTGTCAAACATGGTCTTAAAAGTTCCGAGGACATAGGGGTTTTGGAAGTAATAAACTAATCCATTCAAAACAGGACTGGTATATACCACACAGTGCTTTGGGGCAAATTATGGGGCTGGGAAACATGCACATGTGGAATGAGAACCAAAGCATCACAGAAAAGGCATCAATCTAAAAGTAAGAGATAGAGCTTTTTTCAAAGCTCCTTGGAAACAGCACAACCTCATTCAGTTGCAAAGTAACACTGACATGAATGGGCCACTTTCTCTCCCCCCTCCAGTCTCTTACATCCCAGAAGAATATGTAAAACCCCCTTATATATTTAGTCCAGATCTAATGTGGGGACTTTACATGCCCACAAACCCATCTCTTCCTGCTTTCTTGACAGCACAAACACATCTCCCATATGTTTCCTTCCCTAAGCACAGCAGGCTTATCATGGGTATGAGGTAGCTGCAAAGGGAATGAAATTACTGTGTTTGGGTATTTGGGAGAAACACCTGGGAGCAGCGGTGACATGAAAGTCACCACAGTAAAAGTTGATTCTGCCAGTTGATGCAGCCAGAGTAAACAGGCATCTAACTGAAAACATCATATACACTGGTACAAAAGGTGACAGTCATACAACTGTTCTCTTTCTACAGCAGCCTGCAAGGTGGCAGCTCATTGTATTAGATCATTGTGTGACATCCTAATAGGTCTTTCAGTAGCTGCACATAAAGATCTGAATCAATGCCTATTTTTAATAGGTAACAGGTGTTTCCTTATAATTCATGCAAGCCATCTTTCCAATGTATTTGTAAATCATGTTCACTACCATTCTGATGTACAAATCTAAGTTGTCTGATTTTCCTTCCTAAAACTAATTACAAAAAAAATCGTTTGTTTTTTTTTAAATCACAGCACGACAGACTACTTTTGGGAGGTCCTCAACAAACCAAATCTTTCTTCCAGATTTTCTACTCTGATTGCATATGTTCTTAAGTAAGAGAAATAAAACCAAATAAAGCAACAATGCTGCTGCAAAAGACAAAAGACTATTCCCCGGGTGGGGTGGGTGGGGGGGTGGTGGAACACACGACGACACAACCCCAAAATGAAAAAGATTCCAATGCATTACATATTCAATTTGAAACACCAGAATAAAATTTTTACAGCTCAAACAACTCAAGCTGTTTCCCTGAGTAATAATTTCATTGCAAGAAACACAGGTGCACTAAAGACAACTAGTTAGGAGAAAAGAAGGAATAGAAAGCTAAAATCTTTTCTATTTGAATTGCGGCTACTACAAAAATGTAACTGACTGGAAAATGGAAACCCCCGTCTCAGATGTACTTGCTTACATCCTATTTTCAGCCTTTTCACCTAGTTTCTCCCCTGGAAAACCCTGGCTACAGGAGAAGTCATATAGTCTGGCATACCTAAAATGGGCAGCATATTTTCATCATCACACATCTGCTTTCACAGCACAAAGGCAACTAAAAAGTCCCAAATTTATTTCTGGAAACCTCTGACATAGCACAACACTGTTTTGCCTCTACCCACACATCCATGGTCAAAATTCACTGAGGGAGCAGACTTCAAGCTGTACAGCTGAGTTCATCTCCATTCAGCTGCTGGGTGACTGCCTGCTGATATGGAACTAGCAAGTGGGTGGCCCCAGAGTGGTAAATGACACAATTTCAGCTATCACACAGACTAACAAAATCTACTGACATCAAAACTTAAAACAGTGTATTGAGTCTTTGTTAGGTTGTATTCATTAGATCTACCAGGTTCTCAAACAGGGGGAACATCCTTTCCACTACTGCGCAGCTTGGGCGTGAATGTCCTGTTAGCTAGAGCTCCCTTTCTAAATCTCCCTCCTTCAACAGGTACTGCTAATCTAGCCCTGCCTAGCTGACAGATTTGAAACTTTAAAGCCAGCAGTCTCCACAGGAACAGAAATGAAACCTCACAGACTAAGACAGTTAACTGGTTAAGGAAGTAGAAGTTCTGTTGTTGTTGCTTTCTTTAATAAACCAACCTCAACTGTAATTTTCACAAAGGCTTTTAGAGAACAGATATTGCTGTATAGTGTGCAATAAAACACATCCTTTTGTTTATCTTTTAATATTATAGAACATTAGTACCCATTAAATACTTAAAATTATTGCTACATTTTTAAGGATAATTTTTACTCCCCTGTACAGTTCACAGCTAGATCAGCCAGAAGTCCTGAACTGAGGAGAAAATGTGTGGAAAGCACAAGCACCCCACACTAACTGTTTTAAGTTTCTGTAACTGTAACACGATGTCTGTGTCTGCAGAAAGCCTGAGAATAAGCTTGGTGTCCTCTTCCATATTTCCTGAACCGGTGCAGAACTGAGGTGCCGGCTGCACCAAAATGACATCAATACTTAAAAAGGTACAGCAAGACCACGCTGAGATGTGGCGTGTGCTCCATCTAGCGGAGCTCAGCTTCATTCCACATCGCTGGGGCTAAATTGCTAATCCCCACACAAAAGAAGTAAGAGAGAGAACTGCAATATATTATAGTGTCTGGGAATTATGCCCTCTCATATGTTTACAGTGACCTTTGAAAAGCTTCATACTCCTGATGTATACTGTAATTATAAATATTAAAGTGTATATTTAAAATTGAGGGGTAGTTGCTTGGTTGGTGGGTTGTGAAAGTTGAGTGAAGTGATAATCTGTTCTTTATTGTTTCTGGCAAACAGCTGCCCAATTGAAAAACGAAACATTCAGCACATGAATGTAAGCTTCAGATACAATACTGAACTTCAGAAACACTAGGACTCCTACCTTTTTGCAACCTAAAAATACTAGCTGTTTAATTTTTGTTCTAGTTACTGGGTTTCATTCCATATTTAAAATTTAGCTTTTGAAGGATTAAAAGATTTACATACCTTCTACATTTTTTAATGTAAAAAAATAATAATTTGAATTGTTTCAATATCCATTAACAGCTAACAGAAAATACAAGAGTGAAGACAATATGAATGAGGCCCATGATTTAGATAAAATGATTTAGACCCATTTTATAAACACAACTGAGAAAGCTACATGGATACTTCAGTATCTAATGGCCTATTAATGTTTAAAGCAAACAAAAAAATTTTGTGGTTTCAAAGCACTTGAACAAAAATTATATACGACCACCCTAGCCAATGAACCTGACAGCGTGCAAAGAGCTACCTGTGGGCTTGTCTTTCTGAAAGTGTCAGTTCCATGTATCACATCCTTTATTATTCTTTCTCTGAGATTATTGTACTCCTCTTCAGTGAGATTGCTGTCCTCCAACTGACGGTTGCAAACTGGGCACTGTCCGCTGTAATAGTAGTGAAACAAGAAAATAAAAGGATAAAGACTTTTAAATAAGAAATACCTTAAATTTTACTTATTCAGTGTCTGTGTATGAGGATATTCTTTACAGAACCCCACAAAAGTACAATCATCAGAAAACCAGTTGTACTCTTTCTGGGATGCACCCAAAACCTACTAAAGTCACTAGAAATATTTTTATGTGATTCAGTTGGACCAGTCTAATGACAAACAGATTAGTTACAAATACACACAGGTTTCATGGGTACACTTCTTGATTTGCACCTCTGATTGTGAGTTAAACCCAGAAGTTTTTCCAAGCTTAATTCTTTAATAACTACATGAAAATGAAAACGAAATGGCCAGATAGGACACTGATACACACTAAGAAAATTCACAGTCAGTCATGTCTGTTCTCAAGCACTTCTGCCAAGAATGTAAGATGTAAGATCCAGCCTGCATGTTCATCCCCAGACTGGACACTCCAGCCATGGGCCCAACAATATAAACAGAATCTAATAGCTTCTCCAACAGGCAGTAAAACAACATTTAGTCTCAATGGGTCTTTGGCTCCTCCTGGCTGATGAACAATGACTTTTTTGCCACTTGCTCCCACTTAATGCTTCTCTTATCTGCAGGATACGCTGTTGATGTTTCACGTTTTTCCTTTCTGTCATGCTCTGTCCAGAAGCCTGTATTCACCCAGTGGGGTGTAGTTCGAACTGAAGGAATAACAGTTTTTTCTCTAAATCCATCCAAATATCCTATTTTCACAAGCACAGTCTTAAAGCTCAAATCCTACAACTCAGTTCTAAGTGTTAAAACAGTACAAATTATTCTCCCCTAGCTGTCTCCACAGAGATATCCTAGAGATGCTAAGTCATTGTAATTTTCTAAAACCATGGCAATCAGAAATGTTAAACTCTCCCAACAACTGATGTCTAGTATACATTAATGCACACACCATAAGTCAAGACTGCATTAATTGCAATGTTGACAGAGCATTTACTGAATCAAAAAATGTTACACATGGACTCCCAAGAAGAGACATTCACTGCTAGAGTTGGTTAAGCCACTGTGGCCACTATAGGCTTAGCATACATATTAATATAAGCAATGAGACTGGCCACTCATATAGATGTAAAGTTACCATTAAATACATCTAAGGAATTTTCCACAGTTTGGCAACAGAGAAGAAAGGCCTAACAAACTGCTATGAGACTACTTCAAAATTATTAAGCCTAAATTTCAGGACCTGTCTGATAGTTAATTTGGATCCTTCTGCAACTACCACCTTCAGATTACTTAAAAAACCAAAGCTTCCCATACCCCAACAAATCAATCCCCCCCAATCACCTACCAACAACCAGAACTCCTGAAGCCAGTTTCTTCTTGTGAATTCTCAATGTGGATTCACAAAGGGAGCAGAGGCAAAACAGGCACAGGAAACTCAGCATCTTGCAAGGCTGGACCCTTCGTCTAACTGCTGCTTTTCCACAACTTTAGCTTTAAAACTACTTGCAATTTCTGTAACTTCTCATTGATCATTTTAGGATTTCATGCCAAGAAATTCCCACAGAGGCAGCTTTCGCCTCTGTAGGATAAATAGCTGTCCTTACAGCTAATTGACCATTTAACTACTTGTTTGAGGGACTACTTTTTTGAGACAGATTTGAAGTATCACGGCACCTACTTATCAAGCATAAAGTCAGACATGCTATAGTAATTTGAATGCAGATTCAAAAAACTTGGGCTGCAGCTTCCTATACCTGGCCTTGGAAATGTAAAACTTTTGTAACTCTTTAAAGAAAAATGGTCAGCAAATGTCAGTATTTGTCTGCAGGGGATTCAAGTTTCTGACTGTCACAGGTCAAAGAAACTAGGAGCTCAGTGACAGAGGAAGAACATGTCCTGGATATGACAATCTTAGCTATAACTGCCAGCACTTATACAAAATCAGAATAACCTATGAATAAGCCTATTAAATTGTCAAATTCAGTTTAGGAAAAAATAGTTCTTCTGGATTTTTTAACTCAAGACTCCTGTTTTAAGGTATCAGTTACGCTTGCTGCAGAGATGAGTCTAGTAACAATCACATGAGTTTCAGAGATACCTTAAGGGCTTTGACCTTTATGATTACGACCAAAATAAACCCCCAAAAAAAACAATAAACTTTTTTTTTCTTTCTTAAATCCTAAGGATCTTTTCTGTCAGCAGCCATTTAACTTAAACACAACAAAACACTGATACTCTTTTTCTTTTCTTGAAACTACTTAATTTTATTCAAATACTTATCCAGGAAGACTACCTAACACTTGTTTATTTCAAAACAAAACATGTTCATACACTTACCACAAAATAACTACCACATTGCAACTTGTCACCACTTTGTTAACAGGTTCTTAATCCACGATAAATTATGAGGTGATCTAAGTTAGTTTAGCTCTCCAAGTCTAGCAGAGTTTACAGACAGTAAGATTATCTCTTAACCAAGACAGAACAGAATCATAGAATAGTTAGAGTTGGAAAGGACCTTAAGATGATCTAGTTTCACCCCCCATGCCATGGGCAGAGATACCTCGCACTAAACCACGTCACCCAAGACTCCATCCAACCTGGCCTTGAACACTGCCAGGGACGGAACATTCACAACTTCCCTGGGCTACCCATTCCAGTGCCTCACCACCCTCACCGTGAAGAACTTCTTCCTTAGATCTAAACTGAACTTCCCCTGTTTAAGTTTAAACCCATTACCCCTTGTCCTACCACTATAGTCCCTAACGAGGAGTCCCTCCCCAGCATCCTTATAGGCCCCCTTCAGATATTGGAAGGCTGCTATGAGGTCTCCACAGTGTCTTCTCCAGGCTGAACAGCCTCAACTTTCTCAGCCTGTCTTCATACAGGAGGTGCTCCAGCCCCCTTATCATCCTCGTGGCCCTCCTCTGGACTTGCTCCAGCAGCTCCATGTCCTGTTTATGTTGAGGACACCAGAACCGGACACAATACTCCAAGTGAGGTCTCAAGAGAGCAGAGCAGAGGGGCAGGATCACCTCCTTTGACCTGCTGGTCACACTTCTTTTGATGCAGCCCAGGATACGGTTGGCTTTCTGGGCTGCAAGCGCACACTGAAGCCGGCTCATGTTCAGTGTCTCATCAACCAACTCCCCTAAATCCTTCTCCACAGGGCTGCTCTGAATCT